ATACTACTTTGGATAAAGAGGTTTTAGTGGCTTTAGAGGACATGGTGCAATCAAATGATTTTTAAAAAGTTGTGGGAATAGCTCAATGTAAGTCATAAGGATTGGATCAATGATGGCTCTATGCTTCTTTTTACTCAATGATTTTTTAGGTTGAGTAGTTGTTTGTTTCACCATTATAGGCTTTGAAATAGAATTAGGTGTATATGCCTGATGGTTTGTTAGGAAACTTGGTTATTGGATGGACTACTAAGCATTGGGGTTTCGGGACGCATTACTTATAACTGAAAAATAGTATGGCTTTGGGTTGATTTTTATGGGTCAAATTGAAGTAGGTTTTTTTTGGGCAACCTAAAAAGATTGTTGAAGGATAATTGGATAGGGGTGTAAATTTGGGTATAAACTAATTTGTAGAGTTTAGACAAAATTAGAAGACCTTATTTCTTCTATTTTGTTTTTACTAGGTCCTTTCTTGAGTCATCAAATACATTAGTTGCATCAGTATTGTGAGAAGCTTTTTGGTCTTGACTAGTATTTGCTTGATGTATAAACAAGTTGGGTGTGATAAAGCTTCTTGAAAATAGGCAGCTTCAAGCTTTTCCATTAACTTGGTAAGTTGCATTTTTATTTCTTGCATATCTTGACCAAATTTATCTTGGTTGAGATCAAAGGTTTGTATTCGTACTTCTAATTGATCTCTCATATTTTTTGAATTGCTAACCCAAATCAAGCAAAAAAATTTTTATATTATGCAATGACATGATGAATGAATGATAATAATCTATGAATGAGTGAAATGCATGAGCATCATATTTTCAACAAAGACTGCATTTTTTATCTTGGAAAAGTCATTTTTGTTAAATTTTAATTTTTTTTATATTTTCAACAATGGTTGTGTTTTTTATCTTAGAAATTCAGCTTTTCAACAAAAACTACAATTTTGTCTTATAAGCATCATCTTTATTGAATTTTAAAAAATATATTTTAATATTTTCCCAACAAAAAATAAAATGAAAATAAATAAAATTTCTTTCATCACTAATTATTTTTTTCAAAATAAATGATAAAAGATAAAAATAAAAAGGTAAAACTAAAGATTTGTAAAATATTAAATTGGTCATTTACATATTTTAATTTATGTTTGCATCACTTATTTACGTCATGCTACATTGCTTACCTATTGTTATTGTCCAAAAGAAACAAAAAGTAAGAAATGGTAATTTTGAAAATTATTTTTTAGAAATAAAAACTAATAGTCCTAAGTAAAAATAATTCTTGGACCCTTCCAGATATTGGAATGCCTTTCAGTAATTATTTTTTATAAAGAAATATTATGCTAGATTTTGAGGATTATTATGAGTGCTTTAAGTGGAGGAATAGCTTTTGAAATTTCACCTAAAAATTGAGGAATTTAGGAAATATTTCAAAACTAAAAAACATTCATTTTATTCCTAAATAAAATATTTTTTTTAAAAAAGGGAAGATTTTACAGAAATAAATAAAATTAAGGGAATTATTTTAAATATTAAGATAACACCATTTTTATCAATACTAAATAATAAGGTGTGACTAATTTATATCATTTTTAAACAAGCGTTGTGGGTTCCCCACGGGTAATTGTACTCCCAAACTTAAATTTATTTTCTCAGACCAAACAAAAAGTTATATTTTTAATAAGTTTTAATTAATTTTAAATTTTTATTAAAAAGATAAGGTTTTTTAGGTGACAAATCACATTTAGCAAAAAAAAAAAATAGTGATGACTCTTCCGATTTTGAAACTTTTAAAATTTTCTTTTAGCACTCCCCAAAACCAATATGATCGAACCATCAAGCAATCATGATGCTTAATTATGAATAAACTCCCTTTTATTTTAGATCGAGGTCTACGGTCCACCCAAATACTGCCTACTCAATGTCTATATCTCGATTAGATGGAATGGGATATAGCTTTAGAATTTGTCAAGCCCAACACTAAACCTAATACTATTCAATTAAAGGCTTCGATATTTTTTTTCTATAATTGAAATGTTTTATTCCAAAATCCAAGATAAGTAGAACAATTTCCACTACAATGAAAAATCATATGGGCATGAATCTTGTTCAAAACATCAGAGGGCGTTTAGTTCATGAATTCTTAAATTTTGGGAGGGTAAGTGATTTAGGAAAAATGTGACACTAAAGGAGAATGTGTGATTCCTAGGTTTTGTTAATTTAGGGAATGTAAGATTTTTGTGTTTAGTTCATAAAAATATAAGATTACGTAATAAAATCTTTTACTATATTATCTTTGATAACATGTCAATAACATGTGATATTCATAATACCAATATGTGAATAACACATGTCATGTGAATAACACATTATCTTTGTTGAAACTAAATAATTCTGAAAAATAATTTTGTTTATTTTCAATAAATTTAATCTTACTATTCTAATTACTATCATAATGTTGATTGTCCCTATATAAAGAAAATACGCGGATCAAGCTTTGTAGTAAGGTTAACATAAAGCCAGTTGGAAAGGGGTGGTATGTAAATAATGTATTTTAGATATATTACAAATTTTATTGTAATAACATTAAGTAAATGTATTTTAGATTTTACATGTAATAATATTAAGTAAAGATAATCTTACGTATTATTATTTTTATATATTTTCAATAAAGACTACATTTTTATCTTCGAAGAGTCGTCTTTTCAACAAAAACTATGTTTTTTTTTTTTTATTTTAGAAACGTCATTTTTATTGAATTTTGAATTTTTTTCTATATTTTCAATGACTGTTTTTTTATTTTAGAAAAGCAATCTTTTCAACAAAGATTGCATTTTTGTCATAGAAACATCATTTTTATTGAATTCTAAAACTATATTTTTTTAATATTTTCAACAAAAACAACATTTTTATCTTATAAACAATGTCTTTTAAATAAAAATTGCATTTTCTATCTTAGAAATATCGTTTTTGTTGCATTTTAAAAATTATTTTTATTGCAATATGAAAATACTTATTTTTAATATTTTGAACAAAAACAACGTTTTTATCTTATAAACGACATCTTTTAAACATAAACTGTATTTTTTATCTTAGAAACATCATTTTTGTTGAATTTTAAAAAATATTTTTTTTATAATTTCAACAAATACTACATTTTCTATCTAAGAAATGTTATCTTTGTTGAATTTTGAAAAATATTTTTTTCATATTTTTAACAAAAACTATTTTTTATCTTATAATTGTTGTTTTTTCAACAAAATTGTCTTTTTTATCTTAAAAATGTTGTTTTTGTTAAATTCTAAAAAAATTTTTTTTTCATATTTTAACAAAAACCATGTTTTTTGTCTTAGAAATATTGTAATTATTGAATTATGAAAAATAATTTTTTCTATCTTTTAAACAAAAACTGTATTTTTAATCATAACTTTTGTGAGGATTTTAACAGCACTATATTAAAAATGTAATCGTTGTTTAAAATATATTAAGAAAAAATTATTTTCATAATATTTTTATAAAAAAATTATTGCGTTTTTAATATAAATAATGTTGTTTATATAATTTGAAAATACAATTAAGTGAGGATAAATAGAAAAAATTTTTTCATTTTCCCTTTAGAATCTTCAAAAACCTAAAGGAGATGAGAGTTTTTTTATTCCCTTTACCTACTCACTTCTTAACACTGTTAAAATTTTTAAAAAATCCTAGGAATCACATTCCCATTAATTAAACTAAGATCAAATTACAAAAAGTAATATTTCAAAAGAGAAAGGTATTTTCTCTAGAACCAAATGCCCCTAAGTAAACCAAGGTTGAGCTCATTTTGGTTCCACCATAAGTTTCTTGATGCCCACCTTTCAAGGTAGTGTTTGATATAGAATGACCACATTAAAAATTATGATAATTTATATATGATGATTGGATCATCATATTTGATAAACACTAAGCAATCTTATGAGACGGTGATCTTTTATAACCAAAAGTGATTAAATTATTAATTTGGAGGATAATGTAATTCTCATTCAAAATGTTGAAAAACTTTTATAATGGTTGTGAAATGATATATAAAATTAACCATAGTCAATTTACCTAATTAATATGGGAATTAAAAATTTGACTCCTCTCAAAATTATAAATATTTAATATTATAAATTTTGTATTTTTAAATTAATATTTATTGTAACTTGTTCAAAAAATTTATGTGTTTTCTTTTATTTTTTATGATTTGTATAATACAAATTATTTGTTTGTCTTTTATTATTATTTTAGTAAATTAATTTTATTTTCTAACTCAAATGTTTTTACATATTTATATTATAAAAATTAATTTATCTATCAATAAATATATTTTTTAATTAATTATATTTTATTATGAATTAAATAAAAAATTACTAATATTTAATAAATTATTATCTTTAAATAATATTAAAATTATTAACTTTTGTAACTATTGCTTATATATGATTATTTTTGTCCTTTCAAACAAAATAATATTTGATTTTTAGTGATAACGAATTACATAATGATATTTAATTCCTAAAATTAATGATTACTAATAAAATAAAATGATTCTAAATCACAAACAATAAAACCATATCGATAATTCAATTAATATAATAATCTTGAAAATATTGATACCAAACGCTATCCAAGTATAGCCGAAGTTAATTAATAGCTGCTCCATTAATTTGCCTCAAACCCCGGCCCTCGTGTAAAAGGAAATCATGCTACCTACATTCTTTGGCATGTATTTGAGATGTCCCCAAGCTTTTCAGGCTTTAGGAAAGAATGGAACAAGCAGTCGTGACTGATTTCACCCGAAGACAAAAAAAGAAGCTGTATAATGGAGGAGATCAAGCTAGTTGTTATTGTAAAAGTATATATATTCATCTTAATTACAACAATATTCTAGTACATTAAAGTCACCATATACGTTCACAACAGCTAGAGAAACTAACTATCAATTTGTCAGCCTAATGCCTCGAAAGCATCAAAAGGAAGTAAAACCAGTTAGTGTTTAAAATCGATCTTTGGGACACAGCTAGTGCTTCTATCAATCTTTGGTGCTGATAAATTCTTAGAACTTCGATACTCATGACTTCTTTTAGCTATATCCCTCATTGCACAAGCCAACGAAAGTTTGGGGTTGAGTCTAATAGTACTATTGAATTTCTGGCAAAATTCCCTGTGGAAGCTTACTGCATCTTGTATGGCTGTCTTGGGAGCTCGATATAACCTTTCTTTTACAGCCTCAGAGCAAAGGCCGCAAACCCATTTGCCACAATGGCAACTCTTGACTATTGTGATGTAACCTTTGGTGCAATCCTCTTTGAGTCCACAGCATTCGCATTCTGCTTGCATGACTTGATCATCAACTGTAGAAGATTCTAACGCTATATACTTTTCGATTTCCGAAGAAACATCAGACATCACCTTTCGAAGAAGCCTTTGCTCATTATTCTGTAGAAAGACAAAGAATTATAGGATTTTGAATCAATGTAAAATGTACGTATATAAGAAGTAAAAGAAGCAATATAATTGTAATTGTGCGATGATATATACCATGGCTAAAAATTAGAGAGTGGATGATTCTTCAATTAGTTATGAATTGAGTTTTGAATGTGAAGAATATATAAGGAGAGAGCATTAAGGAAGAAATCAAATGTATTAGGTTGAGGTAGGTCTAGCTATTCAAGTTTACACTTTACAGGCAGAAATATCTGTTTTCTTTTTTTTTTTCAATTGATGTGAAGCAGTTTTCATCGCCAAAACCTACTGGCAAATTGAACCACTAGCAGGGAGATGGTGTTCTGCAATTTGGAGAGGGAGGATAGTGATGGGGAAAGATTACATGCAAGAAGGGGATTATTAAAATTTAAAGATGCCCAATCCCATGTGTTGCACAAGGTATGGAATTTTGCAATCTCGTGTATGGCCATGCACACTCGTGAGGACTCACAAGCCCCCTTCACCGTATAATATATATATATATATATATATATTTATTATTGTCAAACTCTAAATATAATTCGATTATTTCATACAATTATTTTTAAAAAATAATATTAAATGCATATAATTTCTTCTTTTATGTTCAAATTGTAACTTTCTTTATACCAAAAATACATATGTTGCCATTCTAATGTTTGCAAAATTTTATATATAGGTGTGGAAGCATTTGTATCTATCTATCTATTTTTGTTCATCCAAGAATTATAATCTAATTAGTCCTTAATTTTAGGCTCGAGTATATATAATTGAATACCATTGATTCATGTCTTTTATATTCAAAAAATTAAGTTTGAATCTCTTATATATCTTCAATATTAGAAAAAAAAAAGACTATGAAGATCAAACAAAACAAAGATGACTTGGATTTGAATTTTTGGATAATATATAATTTCTCTGTCAATTATCAAATATTAATTTACAATATTTTATGGTGCAACAGATTTGTGCATATCCCAACTATGAATGGATAAGGGATAGATTATATATAGCGAGGGAAAGATCGATTTAGAACATAGTACAAAAATAGAATAAAGTTGACATCCAAATACAGAGGGACGAGAGAGATTTGCATGTAAATCATGAGAACAGAAGCTTTGTTTAATTAATAACATATGATCCCCCATCTACCCTACCCTAGCTAGCTATCAACTAGCCCCCTAAAAACCAGAAAAGCGGAAGAACAAGGACATTTAAAGAGCAGCCCATCTTCTTTCTCGTGCTGATGATGTCTACAGTTATGCATTGCATGGATTTATCAGTTATTACTGATTGCCATGCATGCCAAACCACCCCATGTTTACATGCATGCATGCATGCATTTCCCGCCATGTCATCAACATATATGTATACATATATATTTGCAGCAATATCTCAAAAATGATCTCGAAGTTTAATCATAGTTAATTATTAGTCTCGAATTGATATTTTTAATTTTCGAAGTATATAGAGCTGATTGGGGAAAAGTATAGCAGTTGAAGTTTAGTTTATTCAATGGTTAATTTTTTAAGTCCCTTTAAAATTACGCATTGTATACAATATATGCATTCCAAAGCATATATATATATATATATATATTTATATTACATGCACTTAGCTTGCAAATACTGAGTCCATTCATATCTCTATTGATTTCCATTGGATCGAATACCCTTTGGACCGTCAAAAAATCAATCTGTGATGTATATCCCTTTTATATTTTCTATTACTGAGGATATAAAAATAAATATGCCATAATGGAAAATGCCTTTTACAAAACTTAGGTAGATCAATCCCAAAATTCAAAATAAAGTTTAACAAGTTTTAATGCTTTTTAAATAGGCATTTTGATTAAAGATAACAGCATAAATTTCTTTTTTTTTTAATTTTCGGCCAAGAGATTATGAGTTTATGACATAAATTTACTTTATATATACTGATATATGCCTCTAATGATTTGTTGAGTTTTATCAATTTATTTATTTTGATTAACAATGTAAGATAGTATATGATTTTAGAAAACAAAGTCATTTTCTATTTTTATTTTCTTGAAAAATAAAAAATATGAATGAAAATGCGTTTGATAATTGAAAATGAAAATAGGTTTTTAAAAAATAAAAATGAAAATAAGTTGAAAGATGAAAACAATTAAAAAAAAAAGATATTTTCCATTGTGAAAATAAAGGTTGTATAATACTTTTTTTCATTAGGTTTTACAAGTTATCATATTTGAACACTTTTTAATATCATTAACTGATAAATATATATTATATTTATAATTAGATGATATTAATAATAATATCATTGAATATTTTATTTATTTTCTTATTTTTGTATGTTTAGAAAACATTTTTTATTTTCGCTTACCAAATATATTTTTTAGAAAACAAAAAATAGAAAATAAAAATTATTTTTTAAAAAAATAAAAATAAAAACAAAAAAAAAGTTCTGCGAAAGTTTCTGTTTCCGTTTTCTGATTGTGCCAAGATTAAGATCTTTCAATCAGTCCCATTTTTACAAGCCCACGAAGTCCAAAGACTGTCAAAAAGATTGTTTCGCTGATCCTTCTTTTGGGCCCAAACATATCCAACTTCCTATAAGATTGACCCATATAGTTCTCTGTTCAATTTTTTGGCATTTAACTTCTATTTGCCAACTTACATTACAATTTGATGAACCCTTTGGCCAAAAAAAAAAAAAAACAATGATGAACTCATCAGTCTAATTTGAACCTCAAACTTTCAAACAACTCATCGATTAATGATCCTTTTACCATTATATCAAGACCTCATTGTTATAAAATTCATTACATAAGACTTTGCATATAACTTGGTATTAGATGGAGTGAGGGAAATTCCGGCCCAAGAAATTAAAGGAGCGGTTATAGTTATAGTTTTGCTTGTATTTGATACAAATTTAACTGAATTTTGAAGAGAAAAGGAAAAGGTGGGGCATACAATGTATGATAATGACCCTCGTAAATCCTGGAATGTTGGGAATTCAACAATTAATGATTGGATCTCCTTACACTTTGAAACGAGTATGTGCGCAACTTAATTATATGATCCATTTTTTCATAAACAATCATCAAACTTATTTTGGTTCAATTACTGGCATAAATTGATTTCCACCTTAACAAAAAGATGAAAAACAAGTCTTATTCAGCTTAACTTAACACAAGCTCTTAAGTTTTGCTTGATATGAAAGATGAAAATAAGTAAGAACGAAAATCTTTTTAATCCTTTGCAGTTGAGACCTTTCCTTCTATGGTAAAAGATTGCAAATTGGATGTTAATAAGGGTAGTAATTTTATATCAAAGCTGTTAATTTTGCCTATTAATAAGATTTTTTTTTAATCCACTGAATAGTGGATAGAGAATGGGGATGGTGGGGTTTGAACTTCCGCTTTATATGTTTTCCTAAATATTCTTAACTATTAGATCCAAAAGTTAAATACAAATTCTAAGATCTTTCGTTTCAATAACTTGATCTCCGCTTATAATTGAAATTCAAATATAAGATTATTAAATTAAATGTTTCAATTGCAGATTATATTCATATCTCATTGGAGTTAAAATTAAATAAATCACATAAAAAAAACTTTTTAATTTAAGAAAAAACAACTATGTAATGGAAATATATGATGATAGTTACAATAAAAATATTCTAAAATACAATTGCTAATTACTCCAAATATATCACTACAAGATACAATCAGTTGTTGGAAGGCAAACTTATAAACGCTAGCTAGGGACAAGTAGTAACTTAGTACAACACAGCCACAAGAAAATCCTAGAATAATGTCCTAGAGTTGTTCATCATATAGAAAGTTAGAACTTTCAATTTTGAAGGTTTTGAGTTTAAATATTGGTAACTAAGTGGGATTTAGAAGACGGAAAAACTCAATTTCCTGATTCTGTTACGTACCACAAGATTTATTAGGCTTAATTTCAAGTGCAAAAAAACAAACGAATAAACAAAAATGCGAGTATACTGCATACAATTTCAAAGGCTTGTTCCATGCACTTCCCTTTTGTCATTAATCTGGTCCGTCAGTTCACCATTGTGCGGTCACTAATCTCCTTGGCGATAGCCGGCATACAACTGGAGCTCCTTGCAATGCCACCCTTCTTAGGACCACTCTTGTCTCTTGGACTCATAGAATTAGCCCTGATTCTTGAACTCTTTTTCAGGATTTCTCTCATTGCCTCAGCTTGGTACAACACAGGGTGTGTCCGACCAAATCTGTTGAACCTCACACAAGCACTCATATGCTCGTTTAAGGCTTCTTCTCTTTTGCCTCCATTCCTCTCCATCTCTTCATTGATAGCTTCTGCACAAAGCCCGCATACCAATTTCCCCGAGAACTTGTCTCGAACTTGACTAATGTACTCAGGAGTGCACTCCTCAGACATGCCACAGCACTCGCACTTGGCATCCTCAACTTCGGATATGGGCGGAAGCGTACTTGCATCAATGGCTTCTTTGCTTAGTTGAAACGAAATATCAGATATTGTTCTTTGAGGACTTTCTATCGAAAGCCTATGCTTGTTGATAGTACCGTTGCTCTGAGAGTGTGAACTAACGATATTCTTTTCGCTATTGGGTGCCATGGCAGCTGATAAAATAAATAGTCAAAGGGGAAATGAAAAATGGGGAAAAACGAGTTTCAGTTTCTTGCTCTTTCGTGTAGATTCGATCGGTTTTTAGCTGATCAGACCAACGAGTTTCATACTTTGGAACAGATGTGAGTAACCCCTTAATTTAATTTATAGATGTGGTATTTCCTCTAGAAGCCTTAGGATAAATGTATCTGGACTGCTGAAACTATTTATTCCTGCAAAGTGCAATCAATGAGAGACTGAAAGCCAGGATCCTGAATAAGCTAGATTTTTCACGAGGATATAAGAATCCATATAGTACTATTCTAGATTTAAACGCTAAAGAATCATGTGGTTGCTGCCTGGTGATCGGCTACATCAATGTAACTAACTAAATCCGGATTATAGGTAAAACCTTAACTACTAAGACTGAATACATGCACTATCTAACAAGAGTAGTCAGCTCGGGTGAACAACTACCTAGCTAGCTAGAGAAATGTTATACTTTAATGGCGACATCTTGGTTGACACCTCATTCATGTTCACACATGTTCAGTAAATCATCATGTCATCATTTGTGAAAAATGAAATCATGAGATAAAATGGAAAAATCAAACCAGGTATGCATTAACTCTATTTTGCTGGTTCTTTGCTTTTTATTTGGCCATCTGTTTTTACTTTTTGCTTCTTCTCTTTATACATTAGATTGAATTGAGTGCCGTGCCCTACAGTATTATCTTCAATGCCCCTTAATTGTCTTCTTTTTTATGGGTCTGACACTATTTCGACTTTAGCTGTCAACCAGCTTCTCCCTCATCAAAATCCGTAATTACATCAACAAGGAAGATAACGACACCCGGATGCCTTGAGGAAATTATTGCTAAGGGTTTTTTCATCCCATGGGGAAATCTTTGGAAGAAAAATTAAAACATTATGGTTATTCACGAGATAGTCTACTCCAACCATACGAATTCCAATTGTTCCTGTTATGATAAAAAGGTAATAGAATATGATTTTTTCTTTTTCTTTTTAAAGATGTGGTTTCTGAAACAACTGAGCATATCAATCTAAAGAAATCTAATATCACGAGAAATACATCAGAGCATGTGATCAGAGAAAGTGAGAGACGAGAGGAAAGAAAATTTTGTAATAAAAGCATTCACAGGGGTCCCGGCCAAAAGCAAGAAAAGAGTTTTTGGCTTGCGTTTCGATTGAAAATTTAATCAAAAAGTCTTTTAATTGTGTGGTTTTCGTTTTCCTGAGTTATTTATGAGGGAAAAGGGTGAACGCTTTTTGAACTCTATATGTTGGAAAGGTGCGCTTATCAATTAAGTTAAATGTATTCTGTCCGCCCTTTCAAGTATATATATTTGGATACTGTTCTAGGGAACAAACTTTTTCAATTTCTGTTTTCCTCTTGCGATGAATTTGGATGAAACCCATTTAGCCAATTGGCTATTTGTTTTAATCGCTTTGGTTTAAGCCTTTACGATTCTCAGAAATTCTAGGTGGAAACTGGAAACACAAACTTCTTTCTGGCTATTTATTGCATTGTTTATTTGTTAAACTGGCAACCAACTAAAGCATAAAGTGGTTGTTCTTGATTTTTAAGTACTTCAAAATACAAAAATCAACTCTCTCTCCTCTTATTACAGAGCTGAATTTAATGATCCATAATTGAAAATAAAAGTAAAAGTAGTAAATTACAAGATCTCCTACCACTGATTATGATCACCAGTGATAGGTAAACTAGCTAGAGTTAAAAACTTAAATAAATTCAAAGCTCGCTAAAAGCATTCCTTCTGTTTGAGAGTCAAGAGCCTACTGCTTCTAAGAAACATGCTTCATTATAATTTTGAGCAAAGACAAGAGAAAGGAATGATCCATTCATTCAAAATTTCCTTCATTGTAGCTTCACTTAGCGGTGTTCCTCGGCATTAATCCTTCATCTGCAGGACTGAACCCGAGTTTTGAAGGTAACCAATATAATTAAGCAGCTTAACAACTATTGTTCCCAGACAATTCTTCATTTTTTGTTTAGAGCTCCCAAAATTATCTCCCCGAGAAAGCAGGCAACCCAGACTTCTAGGTCTAGCAAGAAACGACACGAATAGGTTTTGTCGGTCTGTTTCAGTAGATGGATTCTGTGTCTTTGGAAGAGTCATCCAAACTGACAGAAAAAGCCCGACCCTGTGATTCTGAAGTAGGCTGTGCCATACTATAGGCACATCTTTTTGGGACCCAAGTCAGTCCTAAGGGAAAATACTGAGCCCATTCGGGGCAAAAAGGTTTGGGCCACTTGAGTTAGGCCAGAATGCCCAACATCAAAGGTAAATTATCTTCATAAGGATTCTACTTCTCCTTCCCCCTACCAAGTATTTCACTCCCATTTAGTAATTTTTACGCACAGCCTAAAGCCGTCGTATCTTTTTGGCCTAAAAAATGTCATCATATCATTTTTTTTTTTGGTTTCAAAGGGGAAAAGCCCTATTAGGAGAAAAAGAAGAAGCTTAATTCGAAATCAAACTATTATGTTTTTTTAAAGGCTTCGTATCTTTTTCTTTGTTTGGGACCACAGCTTATTTAAAATCTCAAATTTCAATTTATCAACCCGCCATACATACGCAGAGGTTGACAGGCAGGCCATTTACTCGATTCAGATTTTTTTTTTTTTTGGGAGTTCCATGATCAAACTTGCAGGCCAGCAATTTTTCCTCTTCAAGAAAAGTTTGTTTTCGGTAACCAATTCCAACAACTTCAAGTTCAGAAGAACGAAGAACCGCAAACTGGTGGCCCATTTACCAGTTTTTCAATTTTCGTCATCTTTCAGGCAATACCAAAACCAAATTAACCAAAAATGAATGATGCCCGTTGCTTTATTTTGTTAAAAAAGAACACACTCGCCATAGAAAATCAATTAACCATTGCGTTGATTAACTTCCCTTATTTCAGGAAGACTTTTAGCCTATTTTATTTTTTATTTTATATTACACTATCAATTTTATTTAAAAATTTTTTTGATACATTATTAGTAAAATTTTTTATTTTTATAAGTAAAATTAAAATGACGATATATATCTCATTTTTTTAGATTAATTTTTTATATTTTAAAATATATATTAAAGGACATGTATAAATTTATAAAATTAAAAAATTTCACTAATAATATTTTTAATATTTTTTATAATAATACAATTAAAGATGTTTTCAAACTCTTCATTAAAATTAATTTTTTGAGATAACTTTTTTTTTAATTGACTAAATCACATTCATTTAATATATTTAAAATTTTACTTACACAATACTCCTTAAAAATCTAATTTAAACGAAAAAAATTTCCTTCTTTTACTGAAGAAAGGAATCCCTTGTGCGTCTCAATCTGTTACTAAAAAACTATTCTTGCTATTTTTCTTTCTTTTTCTCTTTTCTATAATTCCTTGAAATAAAAATAAAAAGAAAACAACTGTTCCCGTTTGGAAACTACATGCACCTATACAATTGCTTGCAAAATCCACATGGTAAATAGTTTGAAGACGCCAATCCACTATTTATTTTTTTATCCTTTTTGTTTTGGTCAAGGTTTCGTTCCTAACTTTGAAAATTGAAGAAATAAGATATATAATTATTTCGGCTCCATTTTTTACATTCTCAAGAATGTCACTAAAAAGTTTGAGCAAAAGGAAGAAAAGGATGTTGTTGTCTCCACAAGTAGGTGACAACTTGATTTTGGACCATCCATTCATATTTCGTCCTTTTTCACATGGACAAAAGAAGTGGAATTAACATTTTCATAACTATGTCTAAAGCCTAAAAATTAAAAAAGAGGTCATTTTACTCCGAACTAATTTACAGTTTCTTCCAAACAAATATGTCATACATGCATTCAAACACTTGACTCACTTGAATAATGTGTATTTTTTTCTCAAAGAACATAATTCGGGTCCTTCCCTTTTCTAAAAGAATTATAACCATTGAATATGTATCTATATGGATTACAGAACATCATCCAACAGGCTATAGCGACGCACAATGTTGAGAAGCTTTGATCAATGAGCTGACAGTAATCATTGAAAACCATCTAACAGTCGGTTTCTAATGTTCCCAGCTACTTATCCCCTTTGGCAACACACACCCCAAGAAAATGTTAAAAGCAATAAGTTTGAGTGCAATACTTCACCAACTTTCTGGTTGTCTTCAATAAATATGTAAAGAGCAGCCAAACCTTTCTTAATGCGCAAAAGCACCATCCTTTTATCCCTTATCATTTATGTCCATGTATATTACCTAATTCAACAATACAATTATAAAAAATGTTTAGGATGAACTGTTCCCAAGTGATAAAACCCTGAAAACATGAGAAAAAAATATTAACGGCAAACGTCAACAATTTTTTTTTTATTATTTGTACTTTGATGTTTAAATCAATATTAGATAAAAAAATAGGAAAAAGAATAATTTTAATTGTAAGCTTAGAGGCTAAAAGTTTTAGTTAATTTAAAAGCATTTGATAGGGGTTATTTGTACTTGTGCAAGGGAAACTTGGGCTTAAAAGGCCCAAGGTTGGCATAGAGGGACTGGGGTTGACTTCATAAGCCTAAGCTAAGCTGGCAATGGATGGTTTACTTGAGCGATGACAAGTCAGTATTTTTATATGTCAGTAAATGGGCAACTAAGCTGGTTGAGCTAACGTAGAGCCTCAGATTTTAGGTCAACCCTGCACGTCAGCTTGATCGAAATTATAGAAATACCCCCGCTTGTTAGCTAACTTATACTTTAGAGAAAAAAGTCCATTTTACTTTTTGGACACCAAAACCCCCATAACATTCTGTTTTCCCACAAAGTAGTCAAAGGTATCAAACTAGGAAGGATATGGTTGGCAAATCTGTTATTGTTTAGATCATGCTACTAGTTGAACGTGGGTTTTTTTTAGGGCTTTTATGGCATCATTTTGATGAAGAGTTTTCATGATTGTCCCAAACTCAATTCATCGAGCTAATCATGACGCTATGCCAATGTGGATAAGATGGTGTTATTATTTAAGTTTGAGGTAATGCAGCCGACATGGTGCTTACAGATATTACATGATAGGTTCTGCATAGTGGAAGAGCTGGCATGATCCTTATACAGATTTACCTGAATCTACATTTATTAAAGAGAAAAAATTTTGGTAGTTCTTTGAATTATGGCTGAGAAGTTGAAGAGTAATCTTCGATAACCATTGCAGTGACATGGCTTAATCTATGATATACAACCATTTTAAGACTTG